CCACCGGCGCAGCGCGGGGGGGCGCTGGGACAGAGCGGGGTGACCTCTCCGGCGGGGAGCGGTGGCCGCGGATGGACGGGGACAGCTGCCGAGGGCGGAGGCGCCCTCCGGGCACCGGGGGCCGGAGCGGGGCGCTCGGCGGGGCTCTCCCCGCGGCAGCGCCCGCCCCATCGGGGCTGACGGCGGGGAACGGCGGTGGGGGTCCCGTCGCTGCAGTCCCGTCCCGCGGGCGGCTGGTAGCGGCGGAGCGGGCTGGGGACGCTCTCGGGAGCGGGCAGTGGCCGCTGCCCTCGCCCGGGGCCGCAGCTGTCTATATTTAGCGGCTCAGGAGTGGGCCGGGGCCGTGCCAGAAGGCGCAGCGCAGCGCTCTGCCCGCCGCAGCGCTGCCCGGGCCCTGCCGGGGAACCTGCCCAGGCTGCCCTCCCTTCCTCCCCGTGGCCGGGGCTGCTCTTGGCCCTCCCGCAGCAAGAAGGAGCCCCTGTCCTCCCCGAGTGCTGCACCGGGGTACGGAGCCCATCGCGGCTAAGGGCACTGTGCAGTCGGGGAATGCAGGAGAGAATTGCTCCAGGAGCTCGAGGCTGAGTCGGGGTGTCCTGCTCAGGGAGGCAGGGATGCCCGGAGCAGTGAAACAGGGATGCTAGGACTAGCAGAGGCGGGTGCCAGGGACAGCAGAGGAGGGATGCTGGAGTAGCGGAACAGGCCTGCACTTCCTGAATGGAGTGCATGAGGCACATCTCCAGCTCACAGCCTGCTCCTCAGCACTTCTGCCAACACGGGTTTTGCAGCGCAGGGTTGGGACTGTGTAGGCCAGGGAATCTGTGCTGCCTCAGAAACTGCTGGTATTCATTGCCAGCCCTTACCTGGCTGCCACCTACCACCCTTGTGTCCCCAAGGCCCCTGACCCCATGATACTGCTTATCTGGCTCTGGAGCAGCAGGCAGAGAGGTTTGCCCATGCTGATTGCCCCTCATGGGTTAAGTGTGTGTACCTGTCAGCTGAGTTCCTCACTGGACTGCTGTTGCACGGGGAAGGGTCTGAGGCTGCCAGGGACCCCGGCAGAGTAGCTGAGCCAGGCTCTGCTCCCCGTACTGCTGGTGGACAGGCCCAGCCAGAGTCCATTGAACTGGTGGCCCCTAGCGAGGGCAGGGGCCAGAGGGATGCCAAATCTGGCTTTTGATCCACAATGGTGCCTGTGCATGGCTGAGAGCGCAACACCAGCTATGGGGAGTCCCTCAGGAGGTCACCCAAAGGAAAATGTCCTCTCTGGGACCACTGACCAGAGCAGGTCCAGTGTGGGTGACTGTGTGGCACTGGCACCAGCTAGAGCCCTCCCTGGAGCAGGCAGGGAAGAGCTGTGCCAGGATGTGACCCTGCCTCCCCTCCGCAGCGCGAGTGCATCTCCGTGCACGTCGGCCAGGCCGGCGTCCAGATGGGCAACACGTGCTGGGAGCTGTACTGCCTGGAGCACGGCATCCAGCCCGACGGGCAGATGCCCAGCGACAAAACCATCGGCGGCGGGGACGACTCCTTCACCACCTTCTTCTGTGAGACTGGGGCTGGCAAGCACGTGCCACGGGCCATCTTTGTGGACCTGGAGCCCACCGTGATTGGTGAGTGCACCCTAACTGGGCTCTGATAGTGGTCATTATTTTGGGGAACAGCCCACTGCAGGACGCTCCTTGGAGTTCACACAGCCTGAGGTGCCCCCAGGGGTGGGTGGCAGGCAGCTGGTGCTCGTGGTCTTCTGACAATATACTGCAAGGGGTTCGACCCGAGGGCCCTTTTTTTTTTCCCCAGGAGAACCACAGACATGAGCACCTGCTTTTGTTCTTGAAGTGTCCTAGAGTCAGCGGTGCTTGTACCACATGTGCACAGAGAGAAACCAGCCCAACCGGCACGGCAGCTCCTGCTGTGCTGTGGGCAGGCAGCTCCTGAAGGGTGGGAGAAGCTGAGCTGCGCAGGGAGGTGGCAGCCACCTCCTCATGCCAGAGAAACCTGATGCTGGCGTTGGCTCTGCTGACGTGTGGGTCCTTGGCCATGCCACGGGGGCAGGCGGAGCCAAGGTGAGGGATGGCTGCTAGCACCCACATGTCTGCTTGGCGGCCGGCTCAAAGCAGCTGCCTCCCCTGGGCCCAACCTGCCCCTGTTCTCTCCTAGATGAGGTTCGGGGAGGAGTCTACCGGCAGCTCTTCCACCCCGAGCAGCTCATCACTGGCAAGGAGGATGCTGCCAACAACTACGCCCGTGGGCACTACACCATTGGCAAGGAGATCATTGATCAGGTGCTGGACAGGATCCGTAAGCTGGTGAGTGACTGCACAGAGGGGATGTGTCTCCCTGGACTGGGGTCCAGCATCCTGCTGGGGCTCAGAACACACTGCAAGCCATGCTGCGCCCTGGGTGGGATACACAGCTGACCAGGGCAGGGATACACCAGGTCCTGAAGGGACTTGTGGACAGCCGGACTGTCAAAAAAAATGTATCTCAGAGAAATCTTCCTCATCTCTCTCCACAGGCTGACCAATGCACAGGCCTCCAGGGGTTCCTGGTGTTTCACAGTTTTGGAGGTGGCACCGGCTCTGGATTCACCTCCCTCTTGATGGAGCGACTCTCTGTTGATTACGGCAAGAAGTCCAAGCTGGAATTCTCCATCTACCCAGCACCACAAGTCTCCACTGCTGTGGTAGAGCCCTACAACTCCATTCTCACCACCCACACTACACTGGAGCACTCGGACTGTGCTTTCATGGTGGACAACGAGGCCATCTACGACATCTGCCGCCGCAACCTGGACATCGAGCGCCCAACCTACACCAACTTGAACAGACTCATCAGTCAGATTGTCTCTTCCATTACAGCGTCACTACGGTTTGATGGAGCCCTGAATGTGGATCTGACCGAGTTCCAGACCAACCTGGTGCCCTACCCTCGCATTCACTTCCCCCTGGCCACCTATGCCCCTGTCATCTCCGCAGAGAAGGCTTATCACGAGCAGCTGTCGGTCGCCGAAATCACCAACTCGTGCTTCGAGCCGGCTAACCAGATGGTGAAGTGTGACCCTCGCCATGGCAAGTACATGGCGTGCTGCCTGCTGTACCGCGGGGACGTGGTGCCCAAGGACGTCAACGCCGCCATCGCCACCATCAAGACCAAGCGCAGCATCCAGTTTGTGGACTGGTGCCCCACGGGCTTCAAGGTGGGCATCAACTACCAGCCCCCCACGGTGGTGCCAGGGGGGGACCTGGCCAAGGTGCAGCGCGCCGTCTGCATGCTCAGCAACACCACGGCCATCGCCGAGGCCTGGGCTCGCCTGGACCACAAGTTTGACCTGATGTACGCCAAGCGCGCCTTCGTGCACTGGTACGTGGGCGAGGGCATGGAGGAAGGGGAGTTCTCCGAGGCGCGGGAAGACATGGCCGCTCTGGAGAAGGATTACGAGGAAGTGGGCCTGGACTCCTACGAGGATGAAGAAGAGGGTGAGGAGTAAAGAAGCCTCAGCCAAAAAAGGACCACGCTCCTTCCCTGTGTTACCTGCAAACCCTTTGCAATAAACCATTTCAGAGCCTCTGTGTGTCCCAGTATCCTCCCAGCTGACCCCTTGCCAGGTCAGGTGTGTGATGAGTGCTTCAGCCCTGCTTCTGGTGCTGCTATGCTTCCTCCCAGTGCTCTGCTCCAGCTCCAGCTTGCTACCTGTGCAGGTAAGAGCCCTGGGGTCTAGTCCCTGGTGCCGTGGCACACATCCCACCCCACTCGTTGCTCCAGCCAAGGGTGGGAACCGCTTCCTCTTGTGATATATGGCCCCGTGTTGTATCCTGGAGCTCGGGAGAGCAGATTTAGTCTGAGCAAGAAAAGAACGGCAGCTTTTAGGTCTTCTCCTCAAGTGCAGCCCAAGGGTAGGTGGGCTTGCCTGGAAAGATAGTGGTTGAAGCAGTGGGAGCAGTGCAGCCCTGCCCCTGTGGTCACCATCCAGGGCAAGGAGTGTGCCCGGTCTCTGGTGCAGTGGGTGCACCCTGCAATGGCACCCAGCATGGCATGGACCTTGCAGCTGCTGTACTGCTGTGTGTGGTGAGAGGATTAAAGGAGGGCAATGCTCCCTGTCAAACTGCTTGTCTGCATCTCATTTTTTACCCCCTCTCTGTGGGTAGGCCATCTGCTGGAGCCCCAGTGAGCCCTTCTAGCCAAGGCTCCCCCCTGGGCTGGGGATGTTCTCAGTGTTGGGGTGGTTGTGCTGTCCCCATGCTCTGCATACCCCCACCAGAGCAGAGCTGCTGCTCCTGCCTCCTGCCAAGGTCCGGCAGCTTCCCAGTCTGGGCATCTCCCTCCCTCTTCATGGGCAGCAGAGTTCTGCCTGTACCCGTGCCGCTGCCTGCCTGCCTGTGCTGATCCCTGTCCCGCAGTGCCCAGCTCTGGAGGCTCTGAACAGCAGTGTCTGGCTCCAGCTGCAGTTGTGTTAGCTCCCAATAGGAGCATTCTGGGGCCAGGGATTAACTTTCCCTGCTTACTGCTAATGCTCTGGCTATGCTGCCCCGGCTGGCCTCCGCTGCCCTTCGCCTCCAGCAACGCTTGGCTGCCTAACCCAGACAGCCCTGCTCTTCCCATGCCCCGGCAGAACCCCTCCCTGCAGACAGGGACACAGCCACAGCTCTGCAAGAACATACTTTACTTCAAACACAAGGCAACATCGGTGCCAAGAGCAATGGCAGGGTGGGCACTCCCTCTGCCTCCCTCCAGCACAGCACCGGGGTCCGGCCCGCAGCTCTGCTCCGGGCAGCAGCAACCTTCCTGGGGCACAGAGCTGCAGGACAGCGGCTCCATCCCCAGGAGGGGTCCCACAACATCCTCTTCTGCCACCCCCAGGGAAGGCAGCAGCTGGCAAGGGACCCATGTTTAGCAGCAGATCACATGTCCACAGCTCAGGGGCACAGACCAAGGCCCAGGCAGCAACATCCAGGGCACAGAACACTCCAAATCCAACACACCTCGGGCATAGAGCAGCAGCTCTCCCCCAGGGCATCAATCCCCTCTGCAACAGGTCTGCAGGGCAGCAGGGATTAGGGCAGCTGCTTTTCCCCTGGCTCAGCCTCAGGACGTGTCACCACTGGAAGGGGATGGGCTCAGATCTGTGTGGTGTCCTGCCCTGCTGGTGCTGGCTGCAGCCCCTCCAGCTGGTGGATGATTTCATTTATGCTGGGTCTCTCCTGGGGGTTCACTGTCATCATGGAGAAGAGCAGGCGTTGCAAGGCAGCCGAGTGTCTGGAAGAAAGAGCAGGGGGAGGATCCATGTGGTGCACAGGACAGGAGGCCACACAGGAACGAGGTCACCCTCCCCAGCCCCTCACCTGGTCGTGGAGGGCAACGTGAGGGGGTTCTGAACCGCCAGAGCCACACTGTCACCCTTCTGGAAGATGGCATCATAGGGACCTTCTCCAAACATCATGCAGTAGAGCACACAGCCTAAGGACTGGAGCGAGGTGGTGTCAGTGCAGCGCTGTAGCAGTGGGATGGGGGAGGCCAGAGGGCAGGATCCTTACCCAGATATCCGTACGCTCGTCTATCACACACTGGCTCGGCACTGTGAAGAGCTCGGGGGCACGGTACGAGATGGTGCAGCGCTGGGCAGCCCAGTCCTGCAAAGGGGAGGATGGGGATGAAGGGACTGGAGCAGGGACAGGCTCATGGGGTGACGTCCCAGGGCACCCACCTGCACAGCCATGGCCTCCCGAGAGCTGTTGACTTCGATGCGAGCTTGGTTCATGGAGCCCAGGTCCATCAGCACAGGCTGGTCATCCTCATCCAGCAGCACATTGGTGGGCTTGAGGTCCCTGTGGGGATGGACATCACTGAGTGCCCACCGGGGCCCCTGCCAATCCCCCAGCCAGTGCTGCCACCCCTCACCTGTGTGCATAGCCCTTGCTGTGGATGGCCTGCAGCCCACGGCAGATCCCATGGAGGATGAGGAGGATCCGCTGCTCTGGCATGAAGCTGCCTTTCTCTCGCAGTGCTTCCACCTCTCTCCAGAGGGTTCCGCCCTGGCAAACACAAGCAGCTGGTCACCACCGCTGCTTCAGGGGTGGTGGGGCAGCCAGGAAAGCCCTCCTCACCTGCACATAGGGCAGGAGAAGCCAGGCTTCGTGCTTGGTGCCCTTCTCCACCATGCAGTGGGCCACCAGGCGCAGGATGTTGGGGTGGTCGAAGAGGCCGTGCATCTCCACCTCGTGCAGGGCAGCCTGGCGGTCCTCCTTGTCGTGGCACAGGATGCGCTTCAGGGCGTAGAAGCGCCCGTCCCGCAGCCCCTCCACCAGGTCCACATAGCTGAAACCCCTGCAAGGAGTCAAGAACAGCGTGGGCTGGGGGCTGTGACATCCATGCTGGGGCCCTGTGCCCAGTCTCATCTACAAGCACCCAGGGGAGGGGGACAGAGGGCAGCATGAATTCCCCAGGTATGCACATCTCCCCATCTTGCAGGCACCTGTGAGGAACCCAAAGCATCCCCTCTCTGTTTGAAAAACCCCACTGGCTTAACCATCCCCACTCCCACGGCTCCAAGCACCCACTTCTGAGAATGACCAACCCCTCCCTGTCACTCAGCAGGAGAATCATCCGTCATGCACAAGCACCCCCAATGCTGAAGCATCATCCCTTACTAAGCCCAAGAACTACCCCAAGCGCCAAGGTGACCTGAGCACAAGCATCTCCCCACCCTGCCCGAGCATCCCGTGCCTGAGTATGACCCCATGCCCAAGCAGGTCCTCATGCACAACCACCCCCCATGCCTAAGCATCTCCCCATGCCTGAGCATCACCCCAATGCCAAATCACCTCCCATGCACAAGCACGCCCAAGCATCCCCCCCCACGCCCGAGCACGCCCTCGGACCCCCCTTGCCCGAGCATCCCTCCCGGAGCTCGGGGACCCCCGCCCGAGCCCCCCGCGCCCCAGCCGGCCGCGCACCCCTCTGCCAGGCGGTGGAGCAGGAGGTACCGCGCTCCCCCCAGGCTGACGGTGCCCCGGGAACAGACGCACAGCGTCTGCCCCATCGCCCGGCCGCGTCATCGCCCGGGGCCGCCGCGCGTCACCGCCCGTCACCGCCGCGTCACCCGGCGGGCGGGGCCGCCCCGCCTCCGCTCCGACGGCCCGAGCTGCCGTCCCTCCGCCTTGCGGCGGGCTCGTCCTGTCCTGCAGCACCGCCCGGCACCCCTGTCACTAGCTCTGTCACCAGCTCTAGCCCTCGGCCCCGGGACGGTTTCCTTCCCCTCATCCGGCTGCAGCAGCCCTCAGACCAGAGCTACAGCCGAGCTTTCCATCACCACCGCTCTGATGGAACAGGCGGGCTGAGTTCAATGGAAGGCTTCTGCCTGCTGGTGACGCTTTTACGAGGCTCCTTGTCCCCTGACTTTGATTGTCACTCCCCACCCCACTGGGTGTGCCCGCCGGCCGGAGCTGCATTCCTTGCTGGGGTGGGCTTTGCGGGGCTGGCCACACCTGGAGGGTCGGAGCCGCCTATCCCTTTCCCGGGGTCCCGCCCCAGCTGTTCCAGCTGCCCGCACTCGGGACCGGGACAAGGAAGCGCTGGCCGAGATCCTTCCCGGATCATGTGATGGTGGAGCCACGTCCAACCTCGTCCCCATCGCGGGCCTGCCGAGCCCCCGGCGAGGATGGCACTGCCGGCCCTGGGCCTGCTGCTGGCAGCGGGGCTCCTGCACACGCAGGTTAGCAAACAGGGTGGAGAGTCTGGGCGAAGTGCACGGGACTGAGCTGTGAAGGAGCGGGTGGGGCGCCTCCCAAATCTGCCTTCCCGATCGTCTCCCTGCTCGTCATGCTGTAGCTCCCTCCTGCAGCTGCCCATGTCCTGCCACAGTATCCCAGCCTGCATTCCCAGCTCCTTCCCTGCCCTCGCAGCACCCACCCCAGCAGCACCGTCCCCACAAATGCCAGCAGCCCAGCCGGGGTGTTTGATTAGCGGGAGGCTCAGCTCCTCCCTCCTGCTCTCCCAGCAGTTTGGCACCCGCTTCGGGAGAGGGCACCTCCAAGAACCAGCCCCGTCAGTGCCTGTCCCGGGAAGCACAGGAGGGGCGGCTGGGCTCGGGGAGGTTCTGCAAGCCCCCAGCTCTTCCCTTTTCCTGCAGGCCTCCCCTTCGGCACGCTCCTTCCAGCTGGATTACGAGCACAACTGCTTCCTCAAGGACGGTGCCCCCTTCCGCTACATCTCGGGCAGCATCCACTACGCCCGCGTCCCGCGCTCTGCCTGGAGGGACCGGCTGCTCAAGATGTACATGAGCGGGCTCAGCGCTGTGCAGGTGTAAGCCATGGCCACAGCCCTGATAGTGCACCCCCCCACAGCCACCATGGCCTTTCTGGGATCACTAGGAGCAGAGACAAGGGTGTTGTCTGACCACAGGGAGCAAGCACCAACATTTGCACTTGGCTGTGAACCCCCAGACCACCCCTGCCAGACACAAGCATGAGTGTGGGCTAGTTCCAGTCCAGCCCGAGTTGCCATACTCGGCTCAGGCTGCAGGGCAGCTCCCAGAAGCAGAGGGACCAGCTGGTGGGATGGTTCCCTGTCGTGCTGGGGTGTCCTTAGCTCGTGCATGCTGATCTCCCCTCTCACCCCAGCTACATCCCTTGGAACTACCATGAGACACTGCCAGGAGTTTATGACTTCACTGGGAACCGGGATGTGGAAGCCTTCCTGGACCTGACAGCTGAGCTGGGACTTCTGGTGATCCTGCGGCCGGGGCCCTACATCTGTGCAGAGTGGGAGATGGTGAGCCCCAGCCCCAGCCTGGCACAGAGGGGTGACGGGGGGTCTGGAAAGGGCACAGCAGGGTTGGCCCTTCTGGCTGTCACACTGCCTCCAGTGCCATGCCCGCTATGCCCGGGCTGCTGCCCCAAAGGCCACAGGCCGTGCTGGTGCCAAGCACTAGCATTGCACTGGCTGAGTTCAGCAGTGTGCAGGGCCAGGCTGCTGAGCAGTTTCTCTGCCTCCCTCTCTGGTGTGTGTGTTTCTCCAGGGTGGCTTGCCTGCCTGGCTGCTGTGGAAGCCAGACATCATCCTGCGTACTTCCAGCCCTGGTGAGGCTCAGCACAGGGCTCTGGCCACACTGTTCTTACAGTCTGGTGCCAGTCCTGGCATTGTCTCCACACACCTGCCAGCTCTGCTTCTGTGGTCTTTCCCATTGTCTTCTCCATCCTCTGAGAGCCCCATAGTTTGTACTCCATCTCCATTTCCCCATCTCGCTTGACCCTGCCCCATCTGCTGTGTCTTCCTTCTGCCAGGCTTGGCTGCAGGTGGATGCTGCAGCCAGCCCCTGCCCTGCCTCTGTCCCTCCAGCCTACCTGGCAGCTGTGGACTCCTGGCTCCATGTCCTGCTGCCCAAGATCAAGCCACGCCTGTACCACCAGGGAGGGAACATCATCAGTGTGCAGGTAAGGTGCTGTGAGGCCCAGCCCCGTGCCCTGCTCTGGGTCATCTTTGGATGTGCCCCAAAAAGCCACCAGTAACCCCTACACAATGACCTTACCCAGCAAAGCTCAGATAAATCCCTCCCAACTTTAAATACAAGGGCTGGGAATCTGAGGTACCACAGCTGTGGTTTGAGGGACACTGACAGAGCTGGAGCTCATGGTGGGAGTGGAAGGTTATGCTCAGGATCCCCTGGGGGTTGTCAGGACATCTGATGATGTCCAGAGGAAAGGGGGGAGGCTGGTGCTCATCCCTGTGGGCAGTGGGACCTGTCTGCAGCCCTGCCATGTGCATACTGCATGCCAGGCTCTGCCCTGCTCACAGGTGGAAAATGAATATGGGAGCTACTACGCCTGTGACCATGGATACCTGCGGCACCTGCTGGGCTCCTTCCGGGCACTGCTGGGCAGCGAGGTGCTGCTCTTCACCACGGACAGCACGGGAGCCCAGGAGCTGCGCTGCGGCACCCTGCAGGGGCTCTACGCCACCGTCGACTTCGGGCCAGGTATCCTGGGGGGGAGGAGGAGAGAGGATGGGGGTCCCTCCTCTGTCCTGCTCAAACCCCCCCGTCTGCACCTCCCCAGGATCCAATGTGACGGAGGCATTTGGTGCCCAGCGCCGCGTGGAACCGAGGGGGCCCCTGGTGAGCTTGGCATGGGTGCTGTGGGGGGAGTGACTCACGATGGCTTTGGGGAAGCAGGGGCGCCAGGCAGTGAGGCAAGGAGGGGCGCTGGCCCAGGCTGCAGGTGACAGTGTCTTTGTCCCCCAGGTAAACTCTGAGTACTATACAGGTTGGCTGGACTACTGGGGCGAGGCACACGCCAGCACCAGCGCAGCGTGGGTGGCCCGGGGGCTGGAGGACATGCTGCAGCTGGGAGCCAGCATCAACATGCAAGTAGTCAGCTGGCAGAGGGCACAGCCACCAGGGCAGTGGGCATCACCTCTTGCCTTCACCCACTGGAATCAGGCCAGCAGGGACTGTGGGTGCTGAGGGGAAGGGGCAGTGCCTGGTGAGCCCCTGCTGGGTCTGTGGGGTTGCTGACCAGGCCTGGTGAGCCCCTGCTCAGTCTGTGGGGCTGCTGACCAGGCCTGGTGAGCCCCTGCTCAGTCTGTGGGGCTGCTGACCAGGCTCTCTGGGTGTATCATAGGTACATGTTCCATGGAGGGACGAATTTTGCCTACTGGAGCGGTGAGTAGAGCCTTGCTCTGGGGAGGGAGGGGCACACTGCAGGGCTGGGGGGCTTTCTTGGCCATCCCTGAGAAACCTGCTTCAGGCTCTTGTTCTGTCCCATGGGGCAGGTTGGCACATAGTCAAGGGTCCTTGAACCCAAGCTTGTCTTCTCCTGGGGACTCCTTTCGTGCCTATGCAAGGGCTTACAGTTCTGGGTCATGCCCCCTCACATTGCACTGCAGCCAGAGCCCCTTCCTTGGCCAGGTGCTGACTACAAGGGCCAGTACAAACCAGTGACCACCAGCTATGACTATGATGCCCCCCTGTCGGAGGCAGGAGACCCCACTGAGAAGCTGTTTGCCATTCGCACGGTCATCAGCAAGGTAACGAGCCTGGCAGGAGTAAGGGGACAGTTCTGGGCACTGCTGCTTGTGTACCAGCAGGGCAGGGCACAGCTCCCTGCTTGCCATGGGGCAGCTGACAGTCTGCTGTTCAGTTCCAGCCCCTGCCAGCAGGCCCGATGCCTCCTGCCACCCCCAAGTATGCCTATGGCCGGGTGGCCCTGCGCAAGGTGAGTGCCCATCCTGACGGCCGTACTGCCCCAGCGTGGCACTGCTCAGCTGTCTAGCACCCATCCCTCTCTCTGCAGTATGCTGACCTCCTGGATGTCTTGGATGTGCTGTGCCCCTCTGGGCCCATCCAGAACCAGTTCCCTCTCACCTTTGAGGCCCTAAAGCAGGTGAGAGGCTGGGTGGACACTTGAGGAAATGCTCCTGTCTGCCTGGCCCTGGCTCTGGGGCAGAGGAGCAGAGCTCACTTCCAGCTCCATTTCCCTTCCTGTGCCACTGCACTGTGTCCTGCAGGTCCATGGCTTTGTGGTGTACCACACACAGCTGCCCTGGGATGTCCCAGACCCAGCCACGCTGGGTGCTCCTCCCCACAGCATCTGTGACCGTGGCTATGTGATGCTGCAGAAGGTGAGGCTATGGGAACACACCAGTCCCTGGGACAGTGCTCCAGAGGGCTCTGGGACCTGCTGGCACTGGGGCTGTGCCATCCCAGGGTCTTGGGCACAGCCAGGGTGACAAAAGCCATACTGAGCCTTTGCAGGGTGGCTCTTGGGCCCAAATTTGCCTCCTTTGGGGGCAGAGAGCAGCCCTGGCTCTGGCAGCAGGGTGCTGTGTGCCTGCTGGCAGTGTTGGGGGTGGTGTGATCCAAACATGGGCCAGCAGCAGTGGCTTTGTGGCTTTAGGAGTACCAGGGAACGCTGGAGCGGGATGGGCAGACCACACTGCATGTAATGGGCAGGGCAGGGGACAGCCTGGACATCCTCATGGAGAACATGGGCAGGATCAGCTTCGGGGCCAACACCAGTGACTTCAAGGTAAGGGGAGAGCGCCCTGAGGCTCCAAAGGGGATGGCCTGGCAACCCAAGTGACCAACACCCTCTCTACTGCCACCTGAGACAGAGTCCAGCCTTGGTGGGGCTAATCCCAGTCCTGCTCCCTGGTTCATCTCAAACCTGCCAGGACGGGGCTCAGAGACCAGCACCCCTCTCCCCTTAGGCTGCTACAGCTGCCAGGGCCCTTTGCTCCTTAGAGGGGATCCCATCCCACCTTCACTGTGCCAGGGGGACACACCCTGGGGCTGCCAAGTGTCCTGGCAGATACTGCTGCTTCATTTCCCCTCCTCTTCCATCTCAGGGCTTGCTGGGAAACCTCTCACTGAACTCCAGGCCTCTCAGCAACTGGCTGATCTATCCCCTGGCCATAGACACCGCAGTCCAACAGGGCTGGCCCCACACTGCTCTGCCAAAATCAAGCAGTGGGGACCGAGTGGGGCCAGCCTTCTACACTGGGACCTTTGAGACACCTGGCATTGCCTGGGACACCTTTGTGAAGTTCCCAGGTTGGAGCAAGGTAAGGCAGTGCATGACTGGGAAAGGGGTAAGAGTGGGCCAGGACCCAGCTCAGTCCCATCTCCATCATCTTCCAGGGACTGCTGTGGATAAATGGCTTCAACCTGGGCCGGTACTGGAGCTGTCATGGGCCCCAGCAGACCCTGTTTGTGCCTGGCTCGGTGCTGCACGCTGACCACCCCAACAACATCACAGTGCTGGAGCTGGAAGGGGCACCTCCCACGCCCCTCCTGCTCTTCCTTGACCGACCCCTTTACAACAGGACACTTGGCTGCAGCACCATGGCCATGGAGTAAACACTGCTGGGCACTGGCCTTGCCTCTCACTGGGGCTGGGGAGATGGCAGGGGGCTGATGAAGCACGGGGGCTGATGAAGCACAGGGGCTAAGGGAAGTGGCACAGGTCCTGGCACAGACCTCTGGGGACAGGCAGGGCCTGTGATAATGACTAAGGGACCCACGACTGAGTTTGATTTGCATGTCAATGCCACACTCATCCCAAATAGTTCCAGTGACCATGCTGATTCCCCCATGGCTAGGGGGTCAAGGCACCTCTTTATTGACAATGTAGGCAGAGGAAGTAGCTGCTAACATGATGGCTGAGATGCTGATGGCAGCCAGGACAGGAGAGGTAGAAGCACAGCCTTGGTGGTGTCCACAGGCATGGCTGGAGGTAGCTCAGGGCTGCAGGGTCTGCATGTGTCAGGATCTGTCCTTACACCTACAGATAGCAACCTGTGAGGTAGCCATGAGAAAAGCTGGCAGCAGGACCCCTGGCTGAAGCCAGGCCACCAAACAGTCCCAGCCCCTCACACTAGCACATGGAGACCTCTCAGTCATTAACTTTGCCAGAGTCACCACCCAGAGTGATATCCATGCCCAGGGAGTGACTTGGCCCGCTCAGTGCCTCTGACCATCGCTGCTGCACAGGTTCTCCCTTGCTGAACAGCCAGTGCTCAGCCACGTCGCCACCACAGTGGTCCTTGGCAGGTGGCAGCAGCCTCCAGTGTTAGGTGTGGCCAGCCTGGGCCCGGCGGTGCGTTTGCAGGCAGGCCGTGGAGCAGAAGGAGAAGTCGAGGTAGTGGAAGGGGATCCGTCCCAACAGGGACTCTCCACACTGCCAGCAACGGCTGCAGGAAAGAGCAGAGCTGGCCCTGAGCAAAGGGGATGCTTGCAAAAGAGTTAGTAGAGGAAAGGGTTCCCTGCCTGGACTGTGACACAAACACCAGCAGCCTGAGGGAGCTGGGGCTCCTCTGCGCTCACACAGCTGATGTGCTCGCCCAGTGGCCTGGCCAGGACATGCTCCCTGGGGGACATGGTCTGTCAGAGTGTGATGTGAGGTACTTTGAGGCAGAATGAACATTCAGAGGCTTGGCCCTACAAAGGTTGTAAAGCCTCTGCCCAGGTAAGCATGGGGAATGCTGGCTGCCAACAAACCTGGTGGGGTGGCAGAGGAAAGTAACCAGGGACACAGGAGTGGCTGGGGCGTTGACTTGCTGCAGATCTGGCTGCAAGTGGACCAAGTCATCCTTAGCAAAATATTTCAGGGGAGCAGGGCAAGAGAGGGAGGAAACTTTTACACAAGCACTAGTGGGAATTGAGTGGTCAGGAATAGCTTTGGACTGGAAATGAGAACTGGAGCAAGAAAGGCAGGAAACAGCTGTACTGACATGGGAGGATTTGTCTTCAGAGCCATGCTGCTGGGATGGTTACCTGATGTTGGCAGGAGTCGTGCTGGTGTCCTGCAGCTGTGCAGCCAACCTCCTCTCAGCAGCCAGTGCCCTCTGGGGAGCAGAGACAGCTCAGCCCTGCAGCCCAGGGAGCTGCTGTGCCCAGAGCCCACCACATCAGCACTGCCCTCTCTGGGCTGGATCCCCTTCCCAATCCTCACCTTCTCCCTGTCAGACAGGGCTGCAAACCACTGCTTCCTTTCCTGCTCCTGCTCCTGGCGCTGCTGCTCCTCCCGCTGTGCTCGCTCCCGCTGCTTCCGCTGGGCTTTCTGTGCCCGCTTCTTCTCCAGCTTCTTGGCCTCCATCTCCTGTGTCAGGGGCCCTGGCACCTGAGGGCAAGCAGCATCTCCCACTGAGCCGGGGCAGTGCACGAGTGGGAAGGGAGAGCTTTGCTCTGGGGCTCCCCTGTGGGTGAGGGCAGCGGGCAGGCCCCACCTTGGCACGGCTGTAGTCGTACTTGTCGGGATGGGCCACCATGAACTTGCGGAAGGCATTGCGGGTCCGTCTGTCAGCAGAACTGCAGTATGGGGTCCTCTCCTGCCTGTCCCTGTGAGACAAGGGAGACCATCTCGCTCACACTGCCATCCTACTGTCTGCATCCCACTGGGCTGGGAGCCCAGAGACCCCCCAGAGATAAGCAGTGTGTACTGCAGGCCACAGTATCACAGCCAAGGAGGGGAAAGTTCCTTATTCCTATACAAGAATCCTCCAAGTCCTTCTTGCCTCTCAAAGCCCCTGCATGGGGCTTTTGTCTCATCCTGGCCCTTGAAATAGCCCACCAATAAACCTGGGTGCACTTTGAGGCACTGCCCACCTGCTGCCATGCCAGACCAGGCAGGCAGACAGAAGGGTGGTTTAGCTCCTAGCCCTCCCATAAAAACCCCAGACATCCCGGGTCACAGAGACCAATACTGGCTGTCCCAGGACAAGAGTGGCACCAGTTTATTGTGGCTGAGACAGGAGTGAGACACTGAACTACCACAGCTGAGGTTGTGAACCACTGGGTGCCCTGCAGCCATACCTGAGGGCAGGGTCCGCTCCTGCCTCCAGCAGCAGACACACAGCCTCAGCCCTGCCAGCCTGTGCTGCCACGTGAAGCAGGGTGCAGCCCTGCTCGTCCACGGGCTGGTTCAGCAGGGAGCGGGCCATATCCAGAGACTGCCCATCCTCACTGTGCTCTGGCAGGCCCCCATTCTCTGGCACTCCCAGGAGGTGCTGCAGTGTCTGCACATCCCCTGTCTTGCAGGCAGTGAACAGAGCGTCACAGAGCTGGGTCTGAGGGTCTCCTGTGAGGGAAGAACAGGAGGGGAGTCCCATGGGCAGACTGGGCAGAGCAGCACTCTGGTCTGACCAGGGAACACACACAATGCACCAGCTTGCTAGCTGGATTTGGGCACTGCAGGATCTCTAGCACCTTCAGAGTCTGCGGCCATGTGCTATGGTATTGCTAGGCACTGTTGTCAGCAGCCAAGTCTCCTCCTAAAGCAAGACCCACTCCAATACCCCCAGCACACCTGGCTTAGCCAGGTGCTGCCTGCCGCCCTTGGCTCCAAACACACAGCTCACTCAAAGACACATGACTGCACTAAAGACTTCCCAGACCCAGCTGTTCTGGGTATCTGCATGACAATGTGCTCTTCACCCCACTGAAAAGTCAGCAGCAAATGGGGCGGGCATCCAGCCAGCACAGCTCCAAACATCACTTACCTCCATTGCTCCAGGGAAGCAGCCCAGCCTCAGCCTCGCCCTGCAGCTCTGTCACTGCCTCCAAGCCAGGCTGCCCATCAGTCTCTTTAGCACAAGGCCCTGCACAGGCAACACGTGAGAAAGAGAGTCAGAGTCACCCTGCATCCCAGCCATGGCTTCCTACACCGCCCCTGCCGGTTCTTCCCCTCACCTTTCTCCACCTTCTTGTCCCTCTTCTTCCTCCTCTTGCGGTTTCGCTTGGGCATCACTTCGAACTCCCGGAGGTGCAAGGTCCCCAGTGTCACTTCCACAGTCTCCAGTTCCCCTGCAGGGCTTTCTTCCTCCTCTTCCTCCTCCTCCTCTGGGGCTGAGGGGGATGATAAGACTGGGGCTAAGGCTCCACACTCAGAATTAATCACTCAGGGCTCTAAGCCAAGAACACCCTGTCTTTCTCCTCTCCAGCCACACTTCGAAGCTGCAAATCTGGTCCATGCTATAACATCAGATCCCTCCTGCTTGCTCAGAGTCATGTCTCCCTCCATGGTTCAACTTACCAGTTGTGTCCTCCTGTGGGGGATCCACCTCTGCCTTCTGCTGCCTCTTCTGCCAGACCTTCCTGGAGGACCCAGTGATGTCCTCCAGCGGCGTGTCCTTCCCTGGGCAGCAAGGGTGCTCCCGTCACTACCTGGGGACAGGGAGCACCCCATGTCTCCAGGTCTGAGGGCTGAAGAGCTAACACCTCCACCCCATAGGGTAGTGTCCCCTAATGCACGAGGGACCACGTCACCCCACCTGCCGTGACCCACAGGCACGAGGGCTGGCCCAACTCACCGTACACCTGCAGGCTGGCCAGCGCGGCGTGGACTCGCAGCACCTCTCGCAGGGTGGCCCTGCGGGTGCTGAGGGGGATGTGGCAGATGCGAGGGTCCCCTCGGGTGAGGGGAGGGTTCCTGCCACCAAAGAGCAGCGCACGGTTGTGATGAGGGGCCCGGAGGAAGATGCGCTGAGCTTCACTCAGGTGCTGTGCCCAGGCTGCCAGGAGGTCCTGAATATCCTGGGGAGAAAGGAGAAGCTTTATGGGATCCTGAGCACACTATATGGGGCAAACATAGCTCTGGAGCAGGGACAAATCCAGAAGAGAGTAGCCTCAGTCAGGCCCTGCCCTTTTTCCAGAGCCCACTGCCCCACCATGCCCCCCCGCAGCAGCGTGGCAGAGGCAGCAGGAGCACTCCCTGCCAAGTGCACCTTCACCTTGAGCAGAGCAGCCTCGTTGTAGCGGCGCAGGGAGGCCCCAGCGGATCTGGGGGCTGAGCCCGGGGTCTGGGCGTCCCGAAGGCCCTGTGCTGTGCCCCGCCGCGCTCGCACCGTGTACCGGTGGAAGGTCTTGTGCTCCTGCACCTGCAGGCTGTGGAGACGGGCAGGCATGAGCCACAGAGCTTAGTGTGCGTGGCATTAACATGCAAGAGCAGCTCCAGCTGCCTGTGCCCAGAGGGACAGTCCCGCTGTGCCCCTGTACTCACCCCCGGAACACTGCTCCTGCGAAGTGCCCGCCACCCATCATCAGCACGACCCAGCACGTGCTTGCACTGAGGCTCTGCAGTGATGCTGTCAGCTCCAGCGGCTCCTCAATGTCACCCTGATACACAGACACCCTTGCTAGTACCCATGGCATTACCTCCTTACCTCCTGCTGTCCCCAGGACAGAGACCAGCCTCTGTGCTAGCACCAGAAGCAGGTTTCTGGGAGCACCCCAGAGCCAAATAACAGCCACCAACAAGTCTGGGCCTCTGACCTGGCACCAGAGTCCACCCTTCCTACCACAGCAGGTAGAGATGTCAGAAAGGCACCTACACCCGAGTGCCACCCACCCTATCTGGACTCCCTCTCCCAAACAGCTGGGCTGTGACTTGCCTTCCCAGTGAGCAGCACACAGCGGTAGGCGGAGATGAGCTGGCCCTTGGCATTGCGGAGCAGCACTTTGTGTGAGCGGGGAATCTGGGGGCTCTGGCCACTGTCACTGACAGAGGGCAGCAACTCTGACTCACTGCTCACATCAGAGCTATCCGAGTCGGATCCTGAGATGCTGGAAACATCACCTGTGAGGAAAAGAAAGATGCAGTGAAATAAAGCAAAGATTATTGAACAGCCTCCCCAAAACTCTCTAGGTGACTTCAAGCACACTTGCAGAGTGCCCACAACCCCAGAAATGTTCTGTCAAATAACCCTATATATCACAAACAGGCTGTGACCTGGGGATATAGGAGTGTGGAGCTCTGGATCCCCAGACATGGTTAGGCAGGGGCTCAGTTAAAACATCCCCTTCTGCCTGTAACAAATTCTAACAGCTCAGGAGCAGTGCTGGACCCTGAGAAGACCCCACAGGGACATAATAAAGGGACCCTGCACTAGCAGAAGGCTTCATCCCTGTACAGAGGAACCCCCGTGATGTTGCTGACAGCCCCTGGGTTCCAATGCAGACAGTCCAGCTTCTCACCTGTGCAGGTTTTCTCCTCAAACACTTCCTCAGGCAGCGTCCGGCGCCCCAGGAGTCGCTGCTTCAGGTTGAAGCGGTGCCAGTCAAGACGGTAGTGCTCAGTCTGTGGAGCAAAAAGCATGAGCTGGCAGCATCCTGGTGGTCCATGAAAGCCATCACCACCAAAGGGCATGAGGTGACAGACCCCAAGGACTAAACTGATGGTGGGCTCCTTCAGCAGTCCTGACTGGAAAATCACACTATATCAAGGAGTTACCCATGAAACAATTAACCTGGACAAGTACAGGCCTGTGCTGCACTTATCCTTTATTTCTAGTAAATGATACCTTTAATTGATAACATACAAGGTTTGAGTGCCAGATCCCAACAGGTCGTGAGCAGTGCACAAACAGCCAGCACTGGGCTGCACCATGCTGGGGCTGAGCTTCCACAGCAGGATCCCACCAGTCATGCCAGCCCCAGTCCCACCTCACACTGCTCAGCCCTGCTCACCTGCTCCTCCCGGCTCCCAAACACCTGCCCGCAGGTCAAGCAGCACATCTTCTCTGGCACCTCGGTGACTCCATGGGGCTTCTCCTCACAGCTGGCTGCTGCAGGTTTCTCTGGAAGAACGAGGGAGGGCTGTGCACAGGCAGCCCCGCAAGGAGTGGAGCGTCCTCTGTCCCTCCTCAGCCAACCCAAAGAAACATACGGTAGAAGGAGCTTCGGGAACCTTGGGGTGTCACCGAAAGAAAGCCCATTTACCCACCCACCCACCAGGTAGCTCCCATGGCCAAGCTCAGGGGTGATCACCCAAGCTGAGGTGGGGACAGAACACAGATCTGTGGCAGACGCGAGCTTAGTGAGATAACCTCCCTCCCGCCGCTCCCGCGGAACCCACGCACCGTGGCTCGCAGGAGCCGGCGGGGCAGCACCCGCATCCGCAGCAGCTCCGGTGACCAGGCTCAGCCCGCGCAGCAGTTCAGGGTCCTGGGCGGCCTCAAACACCGACCAGCTCTCCGGCATGGCTACTGCTTCCAGGCACGGGACAGCGTCTCAGGAACGGGCCCGTCGGGAACCACCCGCCAGCGACCGCCCCGACACCGGCCCCACCGCTCTGCCCCGGTCCGAGCTCTGTGTTCGGGATAATCCCGCACCGCGCCCGGGGCCCGTGCACGATCCCCCTTCCCCGAGCTGCCGCGCCCCTGTCACCGCCGCACCCCCGTCACCGCCGTACCCCCGTCACCCCTGTAGCCCCGTCACCCCCGGGGCCGCTCCCCCGTGCCCGCCCCGCCGCTCACGCGCGGCCGCCGCCGCCGGGCCCGGAAGCGCCGCTCGTCACATCCCGCGCGCCCATTGGCCTCCCGCGTCCCACCCCCCGCTCGCCATTGGGCGCCGTGCCCGCCAGTCGCGGGCGGGGCCGAGCGGGCCGCGCCGGGCCGGGCCGCGCCGGTGGCGGCGGCGGCGGCGGCGCGGGGCCCCGCCATGGCCCACTTCGAGACGCAGTACCAGCGCCTGGAGAGCTCCTCCACCGAGTCTCCCCCCGGCGGCGGCGACCTGCTCGTCCACGTCCCCGAGGGCGCCAAGTGTGAGCGACGGCACCGGGGGTTGGGGCCTGGCCGGCGGCGGGGTGCGGAAGAGGCCGGGGGCGCGGGGGAGAGGCCGGACACCGAGGGGAGCTGAGGTGGCGGCTGCGGGGCCGGTGTGGGGTGCCAGGGGCAGCGGGGAGGGCGTAGGTTGTGCTGGTGACAACACCAGGGGTGGGTGTTCTCAGGACCCCTCACCCTGTGCTGCTTCTTCCTTCAGCTCCGTGGCATCACATCGAGAACCTCGACCTGTTCTTCTCTCGCATATCCTTTTGGGTCAGGGCGAGGGTCAGGCGAGATGTATCCCCCTCCTCCCGGCTCTAAGTACAGGGAAAACACAGAGCTTTGTGTAACTTTGTGTCAGCCACCCGTGTAGGACAGTACACAGCTCCCGAGGGGCTGACAGAACCCCCTGTGCCTTGGGACGCTGGCACTTGACACAGGGTCATACACGTGCTTCTAGGAATCCTTGGGAAAGTGACGATGATACTGTTGTTACAGCTAATGTGTTATATTCTTAACAGAATTTTATTGCTAGCGTGGCATTTACAGTCAGGGTAGTACAGGATTTCTGTAGGCAGAATCAGTGTAGTACAATTTTATAAGTAGCACAGAACAGAATTCTATAGTATTTAGTTTGTGGTTTCTAATCAGCTAGGCTCTTTACAGATCTGGATATATCTTAATATATGGTTTGCTGTATCAATATAGTGATCATAATGAAGACTCAAAAATCACATAAAAGAATTTGAGTCATTCACCTAGTCCTCATTGGAAGCAGATGGCAGTGGAGGTATGCCTGGCTGCTGAGGGGTCCTGGGTCTCGCTGTCCACCAGCAGCTGTGATACAAGCTCCCACTCAGGATTTGTAACTCCTTGGTTTTGTGGACAGTGCTCTGGGTGCTGTTAATACTTCCCTCTTCTGTGATGGGGTCATCACCTCTCTTGGGTTGGCCAGATGCCTGGGACCTTCAAGGACAGCACGGAAGAGAGTAATCAGCCTGGTGCCAAGGAATCTTGAGGCCCATGGGGAGGGAAAGCAGAAACCTGCTTGATTTATCTACTTGGTTCACAGGACCTTCAGTGCCTGATAACTGGGGAAAGGGTGACCCACTAATAGGTGACACCCTTAGTGACACAGCAGCGCTGCTTGCCTTATGAAATGGTGTTAGTTATGCTGACCACATTGCTGGGGGCAGGAGCAGGTGCCAGGTGCCACTACATGCATTTTGTCTGTCCCTGTCTTGTCCTGCCCTGCCCTGCCCACTGCTGTGCAGCCTGAGTGCAGGCTGAGTTTCTGCTCTGTGCTGAGCAGACCTCCCCTGTGGGTGTTGAGTGCAGGAAGGAAGGAGCATGAACGAAGCCAAGTCCCTCTACCCCAGCTGTGCTTTACCTGCGCAGAGTGTGTTTTCCTTGTTTTCCTGCACTAGGGAACCAACTTGCTGATGAGTAGGGGTGGGAGAGATTTTTTTCTTGGTGGTGAAGGGAGACTTGGCTGAGGAGCTGTGGTAACCAGTGGGACAGAAGCCTCTTCATCCTTCATCAGAAAGGAGTCTCCATGCTGTTTTCCTTGACTGTGGCTTCCACGTCTATAACCTGCATCAGAAGAATGGCTTCACTTGCATGCTCATTGGAGAGATCTTTGAGCTCATGTAAGTGCAGGTTCCCCTCTGTTGTGGCTGCAGGGGAACAGCCACTGACACTTGCCAAGCACTTGCAGCTGTGTAGGTGGAAGGGCTCCTTTCAGAATTGTCCTGTCTCCCCTTCATCAGGGTTTTGCATGCCCCAGACCTGCATTTCACTTTGAGGAACTGTTGTCTGTGGGTGTTCCTGCTGCCAGGGCTGTGGGATTGCATCTCCGTGGCATATGACCCTGCTGCTTCACGTTTGGTAGCGGAGCAGAAGGGCGATTCCCTCACAACACTTCTCTTTTTTCACAGGCAGTTCATCTTTGTGGTGGCATTCACCACTTTTCTTATCAGCTGTGTTGATTATGACATCCTCTTTGCCAACAAAGCATTAAATCACAGCCAGCATCCCACTGAGCCCATTAAGGTGACTCTGCCAGATGCCTTCCTGCCTCCAAATGTCTGCAGTGCAAGGTAGGGGCAGTGGAGGGCATGTTAGCCACTGCTCTTGTTTTCCTACGTACTCAGGGCTCCTGTCTGGGCCTGTGTCCCACTACTTGCCTCTTCTTGCTTGCAGAATCCAGGCAAACAGCTTCCTCATCTGCATCCTGGTGATAGCTGGGGTTTTCTGGATCCACCGACTCGTCAAATTTATCTACAATATCTGCTGCTACTGGGAGATTCACTCTTTCTACATCAATGCCCTGAAGATCCCCATGGTAAGTCAGTGAGCTAGGGGCGGCATGCAGGGCTGCTGAGGGCCATGGGAGGCATTTGCTGGCGGTTGCAACTTGCCTTCATGCCTCTCCTCTCCTCAGTCAGACTGAGCACTCTTCCCTCTGCTCCATAGCCACATGATCTCCTTTCAGCCTCTCCTCCAGCAGCCAGTTTGTTCTGTGTTACCCTCTCTGTGCTCAGTCTGCCTCTCCGCCTGCTGGCGCGTGCCTCTGCCATATGCCACCCAATATGTGTATTCTTCAGTGGTGGCCTTTTCTGTGATGCCTTCCACAGAGACAGCATAAGTGAGGATATCCTCGTACCTCCCTGGGATGTGAACAACCTCACCTTCCTTGTTTATTTGGGAGGCTTGGAGCTACTTAGTTGTGAAGGTCACACAGCAGATCAGTGTGTCGCAGATAGGGTTGGAGGCTTGCATAGACAGCCTAGTGCAGAGTCCTCGCTCTGATGAACAACATGAAAAGGCGTGTGTGCATCCTTTGGAGGGAGAAAGTATCTTGAGAAAGGTGGGGTGAGCTGAAAGGCTTGGACTGTCCCCAGTTTTTCCATGGGCTCCCTCTGGGACACTGTTTAAGTCCCTTCCGCGTTTGTTTCTCCCTGCTGACTCCAAATGGCAGCTCTGGGAGGAACTACGGAGGCCTGGTCCTCTGTTTATGCCTCCAAGGAAGGTGGTGCATGTGTGGCTGGGAAACAGTCATCTGTGCTAATCTAGGGGTAAAGGGCACCAAGGCAAGGTGTGGGGTTTGCCTGCTGCAGGCTGAAGTGGTGCCAGAAGGTGCCTCACGCCCTGGTGTTGCATGCGCTCTGTCAGCACCTCAGGGTGTGTGCTGGGACCTGGCTTCTGTCCCTGGATACTTCTTGCTCCTAATCTTGCTGCTTGTCCACCTTCCAGTCCACCCTGCCCTACTACACCTGGCAGGAGGTGCAGGCCCGCATTGTGCAGATCCAGAAGGAGCACCAGATCTGCATCCACAAGAAGGAGCTGACCGAGCTGGACATCTATCACCGCATCCTCCGCTTCAAGAACTACATGGTGGCCATGGTGAACAAGTCACTGCTGCCCATCCGCTTCCGCCTGCCCCTGCTGGGAGACACCGTGTTCTACACACGCGGGCTCAAGTACAACTTTGAGCTCATCTTCTTCTGGGGCCCCGGCTCCCTCTTTGAGAACGAGTGGAGCCTGAAGGCTGAATACAAGCGGGCCGGGAACCGCCTGGAGCTGGCTGAGAAGCTCAGCACCCGCATCCTCTGGATTGGCATTGCTAACTTCCTCCTCTGCCCCCTCATCCTCATCTGGCAGATCCTCTATGCTTTCTTCAGCTACACGGAGATCCTGAAGCGGGAGCCGGGCAGCCTGGGCGCCCGCTGCTGGTCTCTCTATGGCCGCTGTTACCTGCGTCACTTCAACGAGCTGGATCACGAACTGCACTCGCGCCTCAGCAAGGGGTACAAGCCAGCTTCCAAGTACATGAACTGCTTTATCTCCCCGCTTCTCACCATCGTGGCCAAGAACGTGGCCTTCTTTGCTGGCTCCATCCTGGCTGTGCTCATCGCTCTCACCATCTATGATGAGGACGTGCTTGCGGTCGAGCACGTCCTGACCACGGTCACCCTGCTCGGGGTGGGCATCACCGTGTGCAGGTGAGGTGGGTCTGTGCTGCCCCCGTGCTCCTGGCAGCGCTGTAGGGAGCAGTGGGGCTGGCAGCAATCCGTGTAGACGTGCTCTTTGTTTGCCAGTGGATGTGAATCTGTGTGGATGAGGGGCATGGCTGGGGAGAGGTAGTGATCCTGGCTGCAGTGGTTGTATGGTATGAGGGGCTGGTCTGGTGGGAAGGCTACAGGTAGAGCTGTGATGTGGGCCAGTCACCCTGCCCTCCCAAGATGACAACTCCAGGAACTGAGGTGTAATGCTGTGATATTTCCCTGTCCTGTCATGCAGGTCTTTCATCCCTGACCAGCACCTGGTCTTCTGCCCAGAGCAGCTGCTGCGAGTTATCCTGGCACACATCCACTACATGCCTGACCACTGGCAGGGCAACGCCCACCGCTACGAGACCAGGGACGAGTTTGCCCAGCTCTTCCAGTACAAAGCGGTGAGCTTGGCTTAACTGTGGGGCTGGGGACTTACCCCCATCCATCAGAGGATGGAGAAGGTGCTGGAGAGCTCAACAGCTCCTGG